CATCGCGCTCAGAGACCAACGTGAGGGAAGGGAGGGATCGGTTTTCTTCACAATTATGGATCAACAAAGGTATTTTGAGAAGTTATTTAGTAATAATAATGTGAAATACGAGGTGGCCAATGCACGTGTTTGATTTTGCGAAGTGAGATAAGTAACTAAAGGTGGAAAATGACTTTTTTTGTTTCGTTTCAGTTTTGGTGTTCCATTTTTTTCAAGAATGTCATGTGACGTATCGTAAAAAAAGTATTAAAATTATAACCAAGAATTGCTTTGAAATAATTCTTTTCGTCTTTTGACATTCCACAAAGTTTATACTACTCGCTGACAGTAACGTGTGGTGATATAAACTAAACAGATATTTGAATTTAATTATAGTATATAAAGTATGTGGATGAATAATCAAGCTTCCGTAAACAGTGACACTCAAGATTTTGGAGAAGTTTTTGTTTATTGCTTGTTTTATTTAATTTTATTGTAATGGGCGAGGTGGTCGTGTGTTTCAAACTGTACTGTGTGGCATGAGGTGCTTTCCTCAGCTGTTTTGTATGAAACCGTTTTAAACAGGAGGTCTGATTCGAAGTGCAACTGATTTACATGTGAATTCCTGTTGTTTGATCACTATTTTGTATCTATATTCCTTTAAGAAAAAATAGAGAATAGGATACTGAGAACTTTCAAATGGTATGTTAATTTCAAGTGACATGTTAATTTCAACTAAATTTGCAGAGATTTTATTACGTGTCTGGAACTGATATTGGGTCTTTTCATACAACAGTTAGTCAGTCAGTATTTCTCTCTCTCTCTCTCTCTCTCTCTCTCTCTCTCTCTCTCTCTCTCTCTCTCATTCTTTTGCAACTTTTATTTGAATTATGGAATGACAAGGTAAATTAATGAATTACACATGGAGATACTTACTGAGGACCATTGCAGGTACAAACGCCGGGGCTTGCAATTTACATCAGCAACAGATTCCCGTGCACTGAGAGCTATCCAGCACAGGGAGAGCCAGCGATCACGCAGGGACAATGCCATCACCCAGCGTCGCCAGATTGGCTCCCTCGAGGACTCGGTGGACGAAGGGCGTCACCAGCGTAACATGAGCTTTTCCATCCTTGAAGAAATGCCCAAGAAGAAGACTCTGGAGGAACTGGGAAGTGAGTCATGGTGCAATGTTGTTTGTCTTTATTACTGGTGGTGGCTATGGGGTTTTCCCTCTATTAGGGTGTGTAGGTGGGAATACCATTCGTGAGATATGAGTATATTGGGAGTATTATATATACTGATTCAGTTGGTAGGGAAATATAGGATTATTCTTGACAGTTTGGATGTAATTAGCAGAGGCTAAGTCCTCAACTCCGTGCTACAATTTTTTTCAGTAATTTAAGTGGCCGTGAGTTGGTGTGTCCTTTAGCATGGTTGATACGATGCTTTTGTCTTTTATAAGAATTAAATCTTCAGTTAGCCCTTGCATTTTTTTCTTTCTTTTATTTCCTTTTTGACACATGTTCTATGGGGTATTAACATATCTTGCATATGTCATTTAAGTATATCAGGTGCTGGATATAATATGCTTGCTGAGATTATATAGATCTCTTTAAACAAGTAAAAAAATTATTCTAGGGGAACGTTATCAACAACTCCTTAAGTGGAAGGAAGAAAAGAAGAAGAGGCTAGAGAAGGAGAAGAAAGTGCGGAAACCAGCTTTCAAAACGGGAATCTTCCAGCCAGATACACCCAAGTATTTAGTTTCCATGGATGGTGGAGATTTGGTAAGGATTGTTTCTTCAGATTTTATTGTACATTTGAATTAGGCTTATATATTTTTATTCTAGCTATAGTTTTTGGAAGGATTCCTGGCAAAATTAACTTCTTTTTTTACTCAATTAGTCTGTTATTAAAAATTATATTTCTCCCACGCTCAGTCCCAGACCCTCCACAAGACGCCTGGGAGGCCAACCCCCTTTAAGTTCCTGGTCAGGTCCTCCAAGAAGTCCGGTGAGACTCCTGGAACTTCCACACAAAAGCCGCTCAGGTTCTGCACGGGAGTGACCCCTGGAGTGTCTGCTTATAGGCGGTTACCCACTTTTGGCATGGGCACCACTCCAGACCAGGCTTTACAGAGAGGTGGCAGGCAGAAGTCAGAAGTTGGCTCAGCCAAACCAGCCCATAGAACTCGTGCAGCATTGAAGGGTGGCAGGAAAGGTGTGTTTTTAAGTTTATTATGAATTTATTTGTTTATTTAATTTTTCATCCCAAATGTGAGGAGCAGTTGAATTCGATCATGAGGAACAGAACTTTCAAGAATCTTTATTTTGTTTTTAAGATAGGCAAGTGCTCCTACCCTAGAGGAAGTAAAAAAGTGTATATGATTTCTGAATGCAGAAAGAAATGAGATTGCAGCCAGGAAGGGACCACTCCGTGGCCGTCTGTCAAAGCTGCAGAAAAAGCAGATGGAGGCTGAGGAGCTGGGAGTGAAGCCGCTACCCCGCACGCCACAGGCACTTCAACAGCCACGTTTCAGCAAGTACATCACAAATGTGACTGAGACGAGAGATACACAAGTACCCTCTTCCTTTGCCCCAAGTGATTTCACTTTCGAATTTAATGTAAGTTATCTATACCATAGCAATATGATTGTGCATGGAAGTATGCTTTTATGAAGTTTGCTTATTGGTAGGTTTAGTGCTAAAAAGAATCAAGTATACTTTGATAAAGCTTTTATAGGGTATTCTTTAATGCTTTTATATATTAATTTTTTAAGTGATGCCATTACTAATTAGAATATCTGTAATTCAAGGTGCAAAGAGCCCTTAGCCTTATACGTTCATGCACGGATCCCAGTGAAGGCCAGAATGAGCCGAGTCCCTCAGAGCGGAGGAGCAGCAGACGTTCTTCCCGTTACAGCAAGAAGAAAGAAGATGAACAGATTTCTCAACAGGAAGAAATTACTAAGGAGGCCTCCCAGTCCCTGCCTCCTGTTGAGACTGCTTCACAACAAGAATCTGATGACGCAGGCAGCACTGGCACATACGTCGTTGGTGACCAGTGTGTTGCTGACACCGAGACCTTGCAGCAGTCCGGCAATGAATCTGGTGAAGGTGATATGGAAGCAGATTTGCAGGAAGAGCTAGAAACTGGAGTTACAGAAGACGAGGAAGAAGTCCAGGAAGAACAGAAAGTTGAGGAACCCATGTCAGAAGAGACTCAGGATCAGATTCTTCCAGGTGAGGATGTTGACTACAGCAGGAACACAATGGATTTAGAAGAGCCACAGGTTGAGGAGGCTCTGACCCTTAAGACTGAAGAAAATGTGGAAGAAGAATGTAAAACCATGGAAGAGGAAGACTGCAACTTGGAGGTCGGTGAGCCTTTATCTCTTCGCCTCAGTCCGGAGAAGACCACACGCACCAGGAGAAAGAGTAAGGCGAAAACTCCAGCGAGGCGATCCACAAGGAGGTCAATTGCTTGTTGCAGTGAGGCTATGACACCCACACTGTCCAGGCTACGCCCACGAACCCCCTGTAGCCGTTCCACCCGCCGCTCATTGTCTGCCCACTGTGACTCTCCCGTTGAAAGGATGTACACGCCACTGCGGCAGGCTTCAGCAAGGAGGAGGAGCACCAGGAGGTCAGCTGGCAGTGCCCTGAAACTCAACAACATTAGTGAAGCCCCCATTGCAGACATCCCCAAATTCACTTTACCTTGTGAAGCTGATGCTGGAGTGGAGAAACATGAAATTGTGGAGGAAGAGGAGGTGAAAGAACCGCTGGAAAGCCTTATGGAGGCATGTGCAGAGGATAATGCCATGGAAGAGACGACAGATGTGACGAAGGCCGATGTCACTGCAGCAGAGGATAAGATGGAATTTGTAACACCCAATCAGGTTGCACTCAAGAAGTCCCAAATAACTCCTTCATCTCAGAAAGCCAGTGAATTGACAACACCTATTCAGGTTGCAACTGGGACGTCTCAAATAACTCCTTCATCTGAGAAAGCCACTGATTCACTCATTGATGCCACCCCAAGTAAGTATTAAGTAAATTTCATATATAGATTAAAAAAAGATGATAATGTTTTGATAATTATCTTAGCAATATCAAATGAGAACTCTCCAAATAAAAGGAAATCCCGCCGTCCTCAGAGAGCCGCGGAAGACGTTCAAAGGTGTCATGGATGGTAGAGGGAAGTCCCTGGATCAACACCGCTCGTCGCTCCTCCCAGAAGAAGAGGCGCAGTGGTGTTCCCCCAGACATTCTTAGTCTCTTTGATGACATCCCAACTGATGGTAAGTGTTGAGTTTTTTAATCTGTTGATTGGAAAGCTGGATGGGCTGTATTACCAGTAAACGTTGCGTAGTGGGTTTAGTTCATAACGAGTCTATTTTATGTTTCTAGGATCACCGCTCCCCGCGCATTTAACTCCAGAAGGGATGAGAAACAAAGATTTAGGAGCCTCGCCAGTAACTGCTGTTTATGACTCACCAGTAGGAGTGGGCAATGCAAGTGTACATGAAGATCAGACATGTACCAATCTGTTGGCTCTTCTGGAGCCCACAGCCACTACGGAACATGTTGATTCCCCTGGTTAGTATCTGATAATTAGTCTATATATAGTTGCATAAATAGATGTAGTTTTATATATATATATATATATATATATATATATATATATATATATATATATATATATATTTTTTTTTTTTTTTTTTTTTTTTTTTTTTTTTTTTTTTTTTTTTTCTTATCTGCTTTGCTTTGAATTGTAAGGTGTTTACAATTGTTCTGTTATGCTAGTAGAATTAATGCTAAGTTTGTAAGAAATGTGCCATGCTTAAGTTTATCATAGGGATATTCTCTTCCCATAGCATATTTGAAGATGTGAAGATAATAATGGTTTGGCATGTAGTCTGAGTGTAAAGAATGCAAGATTTTACACAATTTTATAAACAAATTAATAGATGTTAATTGTGCTTTTGTTGTTGCTTTCTTATTTGTAGCTTTCAC